CCTCTCTCTCTCTCTCTAGTTGGTTCTGATGACCTTATTGTCTAAAAAAAAAGTGATCGATTTGAGCCCAACAACCACTAATCAAACTAGCTAGTCAAGAAGACCCTATTTCATCTACCAATTAGTAGCTACCTCTATAATTTCAACTTTTTAGAAAAGGCAAAAAGAAGAAGAAGAAAAAAAAATGTCAAACAACATGAGCTTATCCGTTAACGGCCAATCCCAAGTGCCTCCCGGGTTCCGATTCCACCCGACCGAGGAAGAGCTCCTCCGCTATTACCTCCGCAAGAAGGTCGCCTACGAAAAGATCGACCTCGACGTTATACGGGAGGTCGACCTCAACAAGCTCGAGCCATGGGACATTCAAGGTAACTAACTAATTTATTCTTGCACATTTGGCGATTATTTTGAAGAGGATGATTGATAATATTGATGTGTGTTGATGTTTGTAGAGAAATGCAAAATAGGTTCGACTCCGCAGAACGATTGGTACTTTTTCAGCCACAAGGATAAGAAATACCCGACCGGGACACGAACGAACCGTGCCACCGCAGCCGGTTTTTGGAAGGCGACCGGTCGGGATAAGCCCATTTATAGCACCGGAAAACGTATCGGGATGCGGAAAACTCTTGTGTTCTATAGAGGTCGAGCTCCGCACGGCCAGAAATCCGATTGGATCATGCACGAATACAGACTAGACGACAACCACAACAACTGCAGCAACAATATTCACGATATCTCCACTCATCAAGTAATTAATCATTTTTATTTTTTTTGTTCTCATCTTTTGTTTTTTAAGTTAGACTATTGAATATTTGAACTATTTACACTAATGAGTAATGAAAAAATAAACAAAAAATGGTGTAGGCACCGAACACTATCATCGGTCGTCACGACCAGTCGGGCCCGGAAGAAGGATGGGTCGTTTGTCGGGTTTTCAAGAAGAAAAACTACCACCACAAGACATCATCATCGGCACCGAAACTTGACTCGCCGGAGAACAACAATCACGACGAAAACAACAACGTCCTCGATCAAATACTAATGTGCATGGGAAAATCGTCGCCACCGTTGGAAAATCACTACCAAAGCACGGAATTTATTCCTGATCCAGCTTTCGTGAACCTTCCGGGCCTCGAAAGCCCTGCTCGTGACCCATGCAGCTTCAAATTATCTCCTTGCAACAGCCGGGCCGAACAAGAAATCGGGCCAGAGGTCACGGATTGGGCCGCGCTCGACCGACTAGTGGCCTCTCAGCTCAATGGGCAATCTAATTCCAAGCAATTTTGCAGCTTTGGATCGAACGGCCAGGATTTTTCTTTCTTTCAATTCGACGAACAAGATCACGAGGTGCAACAAATGGTCGGCGTGCAAAATTCCGAAAGATCGAATCATCGGATTTCGACCGATTTCTGGGGCTTTGCCAAGTCGTCGTCGTCGTCGTCAGCGCTGTCATCATCATCGTCCGACCCTCTCTCTCACTTGTCTGTATGATCAATATTTCGAAGTATGCATACACACACACATATATATATAGATATATAAGTAGTTGGTTAATTAAATAATATGCTGATACAGTTTTTTTAGCTTATGCTGTTTATAATATACAAAATTTATATCATTTTGGATATATACCATTATATATGAGCATGTATACATACACTTATATATAGATGTTGTATATTTTGTTGTAATATTAGGAAAGTTAATTAATTAATGTGGTCTGTATGACTGTTTGATATGTGTCAACCATATATATATATGTTTAATTATTTGAAGCATCGTTTTGTTTTCTCTCTATTTACCAACATTTGGTGATTATATTATGTCTATTTGTCTCTTTTATGTCCTATAAGGCTACCACAAGTGTATCCATTATGAATCCTACCAATTAACATGAGACATTAACGGTGAAAACAGTAGGATCGAACCCTAACTAAGAGCATCTCCGATGGTGTGTCATTTGTGGAATTGTAGAGGAGTGCGATAGTAGCTGATGGTGATAGTGATAGCAGCTGCTCTTACAAAAATAATGACGTTGATTAAACTATAACTTGTTGGTATTTGTTTGTACAGAAAACATATCAATTTACGTAAATAAATAAATAAATAAATAAATAAATAAAAGAAATTTGATACATTTCTAAATTTATTATAAATATAATGGTATATATTTTGTATAAAAAAAGGAACCAATCTGACGTTGCCAAGTGGCCCAGACAAAAGTGATTTCATTTTAGGTGCTGCTAAATCATTTCAATTAATGTTGACACTATGAAATAATGTAACAGTAATTGGTCCCCATCAGGTCCCCGCACTTTTATATTAAAACAAATTACAACGTGTACAACAAGGATATTTGAAAAAAAAAAAATAACAAAAATTTTATGATAAAAAATAAGTGTATAAAAATATTTACATTTTTATCCTAATTATAAAATTAAATATACAATAAATAATGAATAAACAATAGAGTGTTAACTATTTAAAATAACATTCATTTTCTACTTTCAATTTTTTTTTTAAGAAAAAATGATGATAACTATTTTAATTATATTCATAAATTATAGATGGTTAGCTAATTATTTACAATATGCTAATTTGATTTTAATTCTTTTAAAATTCAGTTGGATGAGTTGTATGTTTGTTTATAGATTTTTATATATTATATAAAATATTAAAATAACAACACAATAAATTATGTTCTATTTATCTTTTCTATTGTGTCGTTCAATTAGTAATATACGATAATTAAAAATATAAATTAACATTTATCCTAACAATATATGACTTTATAAATCACACTTAATAATTTATTTTCTTACTTTAAAATGTTTAATTATTTCAACATCATAATGTTTAAGTGGTTATACTTTATGTCCATTTTATACTTTATTTAAGTGGTTATAATTTTTTTCATATTCATTACATGTTCATATTTAATCTCTCCATGTTTTATTAACTATAGAATAAATAATAATAATAATAATAATAACAATAATAATAATAATAATAATAATACTTTATGGTAAAATAATCTAAACATTTTTACTTTAGCCAAAAAATATACTGTTCTATTTGTATTTTTTAAAAATTTAGTTTGACAAATAAATTTTATTTCTTTTATAAAATAGACAAAATTAATTTTAAATTTGTATATGTGATATATATATTAATCGGAAAACGTCAAAAGATGATTAATTTGATATATTATATTTACTAAAATGAATAAAGATAAAAAAAAACAAAGTAACTAACTTCTAAAGTAATATAAAAAAAATCTAATTTAATAAACGAAAACAAATAATATCAGCTTTATTTGATAAGATTTGATCTGAGAAAGAGATAGATGAGACGAAAATAAATGCATATTTGAAAAATACAATTATTTATTCATGTCAGATATCTAACCTGATTCCAAGATAACAATGTATATGCAAACAAAATTACAAAGAAAATAATTTTTCCATGTCAGCACCCAAAGCATCATGCAAACCTATCACATAGCTCATCACGTCTTGAATTAACATATTAAGAGATTGTCACAAAAAGAAATTATTAGAAGGTATAATTTTTATGAAAATAAATAACTTTAATGTCATTACTAGTATAATACCCATGTATTACACGGATACTTGTTAAGAAAATTATAATTAAAATAATTAAATAATAACAACAAAAATTGTTTTAGTTTTTCAATACCTTTTTAAAAAATATATTATTATTTATATTTAAATTGATATCGTCACTTACACGACTTACCATCTTATATTATATATTTTTTTAATGTATATCATATTACTAGTTTATAGTTAATTCAATTTAAATAGTTATAATATTAATAGGTAATTTACTTTTAAATGTAAATATAAATAAAATTATTTAATTATTTTGTATGTATAATATAGATGTCAAATCAAAGTTCATGAAGTCATGATTATTTTGATATATTATATCTACAAAATGTTAATAAATATAAAATTATTATTTTTCAAATATATATGTAATTTAAGTTAGTAATTTGTTATAATTTTAAAATAAATATGAGAAAACAAGAAATGTTGGGAATAAAATTATAACTCATAAACCACGTCTACAATAGGAAATATTGTTATAACATAATTAATACTCTTAAAAAGGACCATAAATATCCAGCATATTTAAGAATATTCCAAAGCATAGTTACTTTTTGATTGAAAATAAATTAAAAATCATCCAAGGCAAACAAAAATTTTAAAATTTGACACATAAGATTCCAAAGCGTGCAAGCCTGTCACTTGGGCTTAGAACATTTGAGAACTATATATAGAGGGATTTATTACAAAAAAAAAAAAAATAATATAAGATTTGTTTTAAATTTATAAATACTTTAAAAAATTTGAATATTACTTCTAATTAAGATGATACTTATAATCATTAGAGATTCGATAGTTCTATATTAGATATTTTTTGAACTCACAGTATATAATGATCTCGATAGATAAATTATTTAGTTTATAAACAATTTTATTATCTATCAATTAATTTTTCTTCATTCCAAAATGATGTAGTACTTACTACTTTCATTTACTTCTAACATGTGTATTTACCGTTCCGTAAATTGTGCTTCATTCAATATCGGAATTTTGGAATGTGCATGAAATATCGTTTTCTTTAACCAAATTGATGGCAACCTTTTAACTTATGAACAGTAGAGATAACAAACCACACACCTCTCCCCCCCTTCTGTTCAAACCCTACAATTATTGACCATCACCCAATATTGCTTTTCTAGTTAATCATTTTTGGACCATTTATGAAAACTATCCAGACCACAACCATTCAGTAATGCTAAGGAGTCAATTGTTGGCTTCGTTACGGAGCCAACAACTAATTATACAGTTTCATGTGGGGCTGTCTCACATGACTCTAATATAGGACAGCGTCACATGAAGCTGTCCCATTGGCTGTTGGCTCCGTTAGGGAGACAACAGTTGGCTCCCTAGCATTATAATATGGAGATAATATAAGGAATGCTGACGTTGCATGATAATATAAATTGTTACCATGCATTATGTGGTTATTTTGAAATTCTCACTGAAATGATCACTTAATTAAAATTAACTAGTACGAACCTCGTGCGATGCGCGAGTAAGAGATTGTTCATTACATTAATATTTATAAATCCAAAATTTCAATGTTATCTGAAATTTAAATTGTGCAAAATCACATATATAGAACATGTTTATTTAAAATTAGTACACAACCTGACAACGAAGTGCAACTTGAGTGGTAAGACGTTTCACCTATTATCTATAGGTCATGGGTTCGAGTAACTGAGTAGGAGAACTGTAATTGAACCTCCTTAAGATGAAAAAAAAAAAAAAAAATAGTACACACCCCCTACGGTACATGTAGTTGATAATAAAATACATTATATTAATTTCATAATAACTGTCATTTTTAAATTTTATTCAGAAATTCGATTTAACTACAACGTGATTCCATAAAATAATTATTTTGGTTAAATTTTATCATATATTTAAAAATTTATACTTATATGAATAATAAGTATAATTCACATTAGCTAACAAAATTGAATCTTTTACCATAAAACATAACTACAAATTCTTAATTACCAATGTAAGAGAAGGATGAAATCTGACAAAATGCAATCGGGCGGCATGAAATCACACAGTAGCTATAAAGATTGAATCTTTTACAATGAGTTATAACAAATTCTACAAATTAAGGGAAGTATTTAATGCTTTCCCATTTTATTGAATACAAAAAATTCAAAAACTTACCCAAATTAGTAAGTATTTAATGCTAACAAACTTTGATTAAGAATTTGACTTTTCATTTTTAAAAAAAGGTTATTTTTTTTATATATGTATAGATATAAATTATCTTGTATGATAAAATTGACTTGCACACAGGGGCGTAGTTAAGGGTAGGCTCGCCCGTGCTCCAACATAGTTTTAATTATTTTTTTTGTGTTTTAAATATATATATACTAGTAAAAAAATATTTTAACTCGTATTATATTAATTTAGTTTATGATAAATTTATTTTGCTCAAATTTATTTTAGAATAAGCCCAAATATATAGGCCACATAATTTGGGCCCATGATTTATAGAATAACAAGCTCAGACATATAGGATTTGGGGGCACTCACGCCTCATGTGGAGATATATGAGAAAAGGTACGATTAAGCCCAATCATTGGTTAAGCCCACCTTGGGACTGTCAACTTAGTTGTAGAATAGAAAACCCAACAGTGGGGGAGCAAAGCAACCATCATACTTGAAGGGATTTAATTCACACAGCAAGGGAGCTTTCCACGCAGCCACCAGGGAAAGAAAACTGAATAGCGTGTTTCGACTAAATATATTGTAAGGAAAAATTTGAGTAGTAGAGCGTTTTGTTGTCTAGAACTAGTAATTTCGGAATATAGTGAAACTTGACAAATTCAAGTAGTAGAGCGTTTTGTTTTGCCTAGGACTAATAATTTCAGAAGATAGTGAAACTTGACGTCGCAATTGTTGGGCTAGTCGAGCGAGGGCTTAGACTAAATCGTGAACTATAATTTTTTCTTGATTTATTATATTCTTTTTTTGTTTAAATTTTATTCATTCCTTGTTGCTTTCATAATTTAAATTAAAAAGATAAATATCACAATTTAATTCACGCACTTCGTTGGATGGACCCTTATTTGTCGCTACTAGTAGTTAGGTGACGTTAGTTGAGGAAAATATAATTTCTAATTTGCCACTTTGGGACGCGCAATCATCTCTCTCCACTTACGGGAGATTTTATATTCTCATGTTTGGAGTTTGTTGGGTTGGTTTTATGTTGCTATTGTTGTATTCCTCCCAACTAGATTCAATTGAGTTGTTGATTTATTAGGTTTTTAGTTATTGTCTAGTATGTAAATTGTGTTTTATTTATAAAAGTACAGTAGTGCTATGGAGCCAATGGTTGGCTCCCTTATGGAGCCAACCACCAATAAAACATCTCCACATGGGGATGTCCCACATTATTGTATAAAAGTATATCATTTTGGGGAAAAAAAAAAAAGAAAAAATCAAATGATATTTGAAAGGAACAAATAGAATTTGAGCATATTTGACCATACATCCAACATACTTTTGTTATAAATATTAGATTGTTATAATATTTACAAACCGAATTGGATTTGAAGTCGATTAAACTGGCACCACCACAAACGGTCTTTCGCCTTGAGCTCCAATGACCTGCAAATCTGTCGAGGAGTCCCGATGTAAAACCTCTAACGCTCAAGTTAGATCTTGCTCGTGAATATACTGGAACCTATATGTAAAAGGCGTAATAATGCGTCGGTAACCCCTTTTATACATCGGTTATTTTCTTGCTCAAGTAGACTTCTTACTAGAAACGAGATCCTATCATATCTACTCTCCTAATATATCACGTCTCTAAGATCGCAGACTTCTTAGCGAGACATGTTTACCATCCTTATGAGGATTCAATTACCTCTCATGGCACTATCCTTAGGTCCTTAGATCGTCACAACGAACTCATGACCCATCCACCATAAGCTTTTACCAGGTCAAAACCACGACCTCTACTTATATGACCTCAAAATCATACAGACCCCTCTTATGTCCGAGCTCTAGAAAGAGCTTGGCTCATGATTCCTTCGTTCAGGTTGACATGTACCTTGAGTTGCTCTAATGAGCTCCCTAACTAGGTCGAGCCTTAACACCGAGATAAAAAAACTTTATTGAACCGGTCATACTCGAGGTAACCACTCATTCCGGTTCACCGAGCTGTCATGGATGTTTTATCATCTAGCCCTCCATTCTTAAACAAGCTACCAAGACTTGTGCAAGAATAACATATCGTCGTTGCATCCAACTTGTCTCTTCGGCCTTAAATACCATCTTTTAGCCAATTGGGGAATAGCCCTTAGAATTGTTGCCTCAAAACCCTAAAATGTACATTTTGCTTAGCATCGTTATTTGTACAAAATAAACTCTTATCAAAAGTCAACCTTTTGACATCTATCCCATCAACCCCTCCCGATCAATCGAGATCACTGATGCTGCACATGATCCAGCGACCTACCTCCGACCCCAAAGATCGGGCCTTACAATTATGCTATAAAAACACCCCCCATTCTTCTATTTGCAACTTTTCACCATCTGAATTTTCAAAGTTTCTATCTAGAGACTTGGACACAAAATTTTAGATAAAAAAATTTGAAGTTGCATTTTTTCTCATCATATCGAGCAGTTTAACATAAGGGCGAATGGTTGGTTCAAAAGTATTGCCCAAATATATAATAATTGTAGCTCAAATCTGGCATTGAACCGTGTAGGCAAACGAGCAGTTCACAACAAGTACGTTATTGATCTTGTTGACATTGTTGCTGCTAATATGCTGTTTAATAAGTTACAGCAGAGTTATATATATATTTTCCCTCCAGCTGAACAAGTTGCAGCAATATAAAGTGTAGTTGCCTTAGCATAACACCAGTATTGAAACCTTCTGATCTGCAACTTGTTCGCACCATCTTCACCACTGGTAGTTACATATGTCTCATGATATCTGCAAGAAAACTAGTGAGTTAGAAAAATGATGTAGCACTTAACAAGGTACACAGAAGAAAAATAAAGGTAAGGCTTTCTCGTTCAGAATTGTATACAGAAGCCAACATGCACATGTTCTTTCTTCTCAGTTATGACACGCAAATTCTATGGTGAAACAATTATTTTTACTTCACAGTTTGGCCTAAATAGGTTGCCGAACTAAGTGGAAAGTGAGCTTACCACTTACATTTCATAAGTAAAACCACAATCTTTTGCTTATGAACAATTTTGCAGATTCATCAGAACTGGCGATGATTGCACGGCCTACCAAATAACTCTAGCTTTGGCATGACATGACTCAGATATTGCTAGGAATGATGATATAATTTGTACCCGGGACAAGTAAAATGAAGACTTAGCTTTCTAAACTAATAGGACAGGAGTAAGACTAGTTAAATCCTTGTATTTCAGCAGTCTACAAAAGACGAAACGTAAAAATTATCCTTCTCATAGTTCAAACCCTTTTGAAAAAGAGTTCATGGAAAATTCTTAGCTTGTTCCTAAACTAAACAACCTTACTTAAGGTGGCAGTTGATGAAATAGGAAGTAGTGAACAATGGGAACTCAGAGTGGATGACAATTTAAGCCTATTCATCAAAAAAGAACAAGAAAAACAACATGCTCAAATTTTAACACTGACCAGAATGACCTGCTATTTTAGACCTTGATCCTCAATCTCGGAACGTAACATCCAAAATGCCCACAAGTAGAGAGAGAAATGCATGAAAGCACCAAAACATACCAAATGTGTTCCAAACACACCATTTAGCAGTGATCAATGTCATGACCTTCAAATTAACACATTTACCAACATGACATTACTTTCTACATTAACACATCAAAGAATAAAGTAAAATCTTTCAAAGGGCAAATCACTATATATGTATAAACACATATAACCCTAAATGGAACTCAACACGCCTTCTGCACATTCATATTCATCCAAGAATCCAAAAACAAAAGAAATCTTCATCATGCCAAAACGAAAACGTACAGCACAGCACAATAAGATCATCAATAAGGGAACTCGAAAACAAACCTAATAAACTCAGGCGTAGCCAATCCAAACGCGCCACACGCGCATCCCCCCAACTCCTCAGCAACAAATCGGACAAATGACCAACCCATTCTCGTTACAATCGCCACACCTCACCACCACCACACCACTCTTCTTCCTCCCCACATCCAATTCTTCTTCTTCTTCTTCGTCTTTTTCTTCTTCGTGTTCTTCTATCACAATCTTACAACTCCCGTGGCACGTGAAACAGGGCAAGAATCCCACTCCTCCGCACCCCTCACACGCATACCCAACTCCCCTCGATTTCGGCAGGCCCTGGAGCAATTGACCGATATACCCCTCCTCCACTATCCTCATAACCTCATCAGCCCCACCAATGTACCTCCCTTTCACAAACAACCGTGGTGGAACAAGCTCATTCCGGCTTTTCCCCTTCAGAAGCTCCCCTAGCTCGTCCCTGTAACCTCTATCCATGGAAATATCCCTCTCGCAGACAAAAATCCCAAGCCCACGAATGGCGGATCGAACGGCATTACAGTCCTCGAAAGTCTTCCTCACTCCCCTCAGGCTCGTGCTGTACATCACCACTTTATTCTCACCGTTGGACGGGCAGATCGGGTCGAAACCTTCAAGGAACTCATCCAGGTCCTTATGGGACGAGACCGAGCGATTCAAATCGTGAGGGACGTTGGGGCTGTGATTCTCGTCGTTATCTCGCGAGACTTCGGGCCGATTGGGCGGCGGAACATAGTGACGGAAGCTGGGGGCGTGTTCGGGATCCAAGCCGGACATGAGGTCCCATGAGTTGATGGTCTCGAGGGGCTGGTACCGGAGGGAGCGGGGCTCGGAGGAGAGCGGGCTGGGGAGGAGGGAAGCGAGGGTGCGGCGCGGCTGGGGTGGCTCCGGGGACGGCGCTGGGATCGGAGGGACGGTGCTGACGGTGGCGGAATCTGGGGGCGGGTCCAGGGTCAGGAGGCCGTAGGTCGTGGAGGTGAGGGAGACAATGTGGTGGCTGAAGGCGGCGGAGCCGCCGATTTGGGAAAAGTCGTCGTCCTGGTTGAGGAAAGTGGATGAGACGCAGCCCATTTGTGTGTGTGAATATGAGGAATAGTTTGGTTTATTAATTGAAGATTTGGGAGTTTTGGGTTCATTCAATATTTTGAAATGTGGAGGTGTGAGGGTAGTAAATGCAGTGTGGCCATGGCGGTTTTAGCGCTCAAACAAAGGGGTTTGCTTTATTTTGAACGCAAAGATGCCAGTACATACAGTGAAAACACATTGGAGTTGGAGCTTTTCTTGGATTTTTCTTTCTTTCTTTATTTGAAATTAAAAAAAATATATATATATATAGGAAAATGTTGATGATGGGTATATGGACTTTGCTAATATATTCTTTTGTCTGGTAGTTAAGATTTATCTTATCTTATTAAAATCCTCTCTATATATTAATTCATCACTATATTAATTCAGAACGCGCGGAGCCTACGTGGTTGTTTTGGTGCTTCGGAATCTTATGTGGTAAAATTACATGATTCGTTATTAGGCTTGGGTAAAATTTTAATTCAATTCCAAACAAAAAATAATTAGGTTCGAATTACCATAAATATGTTGATTATTTACGGTCATGTTACATGCATTAATTGCATTTTAATATTATTCCTTATTATAACTATTGAATTGTATATGTATTTTAAAATTTAATAACTTTTGTATTTTTTATCAGTTTTACATATGTAATATATCAAACTAAGCTTCTTTTGATGAGCTTCGATTTAACATACATATTGTATGTGTAAAAAAAATAATTTACATTTATCTTTGTAACATAATAAAATTATTTTTAATATTAATTAGAAAAATAAAATTATTTATCAACTAATATATTTATATTTCAAGTAGTTATATGATATAAGTTATAAAAACTAATATAATATAACACATGTAAGTCATAAGTAACACATATCATTCTAAAATATATAGTAATATATTTTTTTTTGTAAAAAATTAACTAAATTTAATATATTTTTCTCATTATTTTAAATTTAAGAATAATTTTTTAACAAGCACTCATGTAATACACGGGTGTACTAGTTAAAATGATAAGTAAAAACAAAAAGAAATTGTTTGTGATTTGATATAAGAGTTTTGTTTTGAAAAATTGACGAAAAATGAGATAGAAAAATAGAAATACTGTTTTTTTTTTT